GTTTATGATAAACAATTCAAGGCTAATTATTCTATAAATTTACAACAAATGGTTAAAGAGGAGTAATTTCGTGGTTTATAATAAACAATTCAAGGTTAATTATTCTATAAATTTATAACAAATAGTTAAAGAGGAGTAATTACGTGGTTTATAATAAACAATTCAAGGTTAATTATTCTATAAATTTATAACAAATAGTTAAAGAGGAGTAATTACGTGGTTTATAATAAACAATTCAAGGCTAATTATTCTATAAATTTATAACAAATAGCTAAAGAGGAGTAATTTCGGGGTTTATAATAAACAATTCAAGGTTAATTAGAACATTGTTCAGTGCAGTATATTTTATAATCTTATAATGTTGTTTCAAGGGGAGTATTTTTATGTTTTGGGTATTTCAATGGAACTTATTTTACAGTTTAACTAACATGAATTTTGTATACATTAGCAAAGGTTACACCTGAAAAACTCAACTTATAAATGTGTTTGATAAAAGAGCATTTTTGAATAGGAAATGAAATAATTTTTGAAATGATCCCCAAATGATGTACGAGCAGCGATTTACGTCTAACATTTTTATAGTTGCACCATTTTGAGATATTGTTTTACTAAGACGTTTCGTGAGGTTAAATAGATGTTGATACAATTTGTAATGCGAGTTTCTCTTCTTTTTCATCGGGATTCGGTCCATGTTTTGGACCAGGGAGGGTCAGGTTCAGCATGGACCTCTTCTTACCAGTTTCTTGCCAGGTATACTTGTTCCTTCAAAATAGTGAACTTTCCCGCGATCGATAAAGACGGCCCACGTGAGGTGCTAAAGGCCTTTCTCAGGCCAGCTCCGGCGGAAGAGGCAGTCCACTTTCATTCGAAGACGCACGTGCACGTGTGCTGTTGTTGTCTCCATGATACTTGTGTTGCTGTGTGTGATTCACGTGGTCGCAGTAGTTTCAGCTGGAGGTAAGTACTTTTCTCATATGAACCTCATGAAGATCGCTTGACATGCTGCTAATCAGTTGTTTCGTGTTTTATTAGGCTTGTCTCAAAACACTGTAATTGTAGTAAAACTAGCATAAATCATAAGCGCCAAAGCTGGTTTACAAAGACACCCGAATAAAGTTTGAACTTTTTCTAAAATATACTAAACTCACAAGATAGACAGAAAGACGCAAGTAAAACTTATAGGCGCAAGGAGAGATAGACAACTATCCAATTGCTCCTGACTGAAGGTGATAGTAAGATGCACCACCCTGATATGTGAAGAATAAAACATAAGAGTTACGTGTATTCTACATTAAATTTGTTCGATTTATCAAAAAACAACAGATGGATAGACATTAAGAGAGAGAGAGAAAGAGAAAGAACGAGTAAAACACAACTCATGTACTCATAGCACAGTAATATTTAGAACGTCCTCTGGCACTTGTAAATTATAAAAATAAGCTGGATTCACTTAGAAACACAGTCAGATGTCAAAAACAAACAAACAATAGATGGGTAGATATGAAGAGAGTTTATATTTATAGAAATCATATATGTATATACGCAGACGAATCTGTTTGTTTGTTTTTAATTATGTACAAAGCTACACAACAGTTATTTGTGCTCTGCCCACCACGAGTATCGAAACCCGGTTTCTGGCTTTGTAAGTCCGCAGACATACCGATGTGCCACTGGGGGGCAGATATGAAGAGAGATAGACACAGAAGTTGACAGAAGAGAGATAGACACAGAAGTTGACAGAGTGGAAGAGGTGTAACACGATGGATAATACAAGGGACAAAAATAGACAGACACAGTCAAGTATATAAAGACAGAGAGAAACGAGAGGGAATCCTCAATAGCCTCAACTGAAATTATTTTAGGCAGGATTAGAAAAAAATAATCTATGATACCTTCCTAGGCGTGTTCATATAAATCAGTCGAAAGGGTTTGACCTCCTGAGTCCAAAACTGTAATTAGATCTCAAATCGGCGAAGAGATGACGGAGCTATGAG